GAAATTGGATGCTGAGAATTTCATGCTGTGTACCATTTTGAAATAAAGCAAATCATTATTAATAAGCACACCAGTAAGTGTCCATAAACGCATCTGTGCGTCGGTGGCACAGTGGTTAGAACTCTCGCCGACCATGCACATGATCCGAGGTTCGATCCACTGCCGACGCACACCTGATATCTATGGTCGGCCTGCAAAATTTAGGCTACCGATATCACATGCTGAAAATTCCATACTTGTACCAAAAATAACACAGTGTGGAATGAAGCTGTAATCAAAAATAAAAAAAACAATGTGCTATTCTCGATACGCCTTATAACTCCTCCACAGGAGGAAGTCAACCTACAAAAGACACTGATATATCAGAATTTATAGGAAGCCGATACACACAGACAGTCTAATAAATACTTAGACTTTATTTATTTATCCCATCCAAAATCGGTTAAAAGGAAGACAGGTTTTGATATAAGAATAAAACTTGTGCACTGTGTGTTAGAGTATAATTCCATTAGGTTAAAGGACCCTGTAGGTTGACCTAATTAGACAAAATAATATAATTTACATAATACCCTACAATGACTGTGAGTTGGGTCAACTACAGAGGTCAAACTAGTGGATCAGGCAGAAGTAGTTAGATTGTCGGAACATAAGAATTTAGCTAAGGTAAGAATGGTTGACGCCACCCAAGAAGATAAGTAATTTAGAAACAAACTCAGCAGTGAATTGCACTGCATGCATTAACACACAACCACACAATAAGGTGGGTTGGATAGAGTCAAAATTCTAAAAAGCAATCTAGGTAGTTGGGGAGCGAGGGAGATGGATTACTGAATCCTGCCTGGTTCATCGAGTCTACACCCAACACATGCAATAGGCATGACTCATCATTCCTACCGGAAGTATGGAAAATAGAGATGGAAAATAATGGAATTATATAAACGAAGTTAGAAAGTTGTGAGCGTAGTGCCTTGATATAATGACTATGAGCAGGCATAAATTGTGCTCTAAACGCGGTCATCAGTAAGTAGTATTACTGTATAACACTGTGAAACTTTACCAAAATAAATTTTATCCATAATGGAAGACAGGTTTCAGTTAAATGTCTCTGTAATCAGGTCAGGAGGTTTAACTAGTAAAGACTGTGAATAAAATAATTCCAACAGTGGTGTGAACACGGGTAGTAATTTTGCTCGAAATATTACCAATAACAAAACTTATCATTGTGTGTAAACTATTGAAATATAATTATGTCTTTATTTCATCTAATTTACAATCCTCAAACTTTTTACTCATATTAGTAAATTGTAGGTCAAAAGATTTAAATAATATATGAAGAACCGTCGAAAAAACAAGATTAGCACTGGAAATGACACAAAAATATAGAAACTAAGGCCACTGTAGTACTGTCGTATAAAGAAGAACTGTCAGAGGCCTTACGTAGAATTCTTAATGAGACCCGAATTAGGATGACAGTTAATCCAACCAACTAACTCTTTCAAAGATAAAACTTTGTCGGCTGAAGGACTCAATAGATCCAAATAAGAAAAATGGTGTAGTTCACCAAATAGCACTGTAATGGCTGTGAGGTCAATTCGATTATTGGAATATGAAAATTTAGCCGGACGTAGAATTAGTTGCCCCCTGCTAAGTTGAATAGCCTAGATGAAAAGCTCAGCCATTGTATAACATCCCCTTGCATGTAATCAAACAATAAGGTGGATGGAATAGGGTGAACACACTAGATAGTAATGTAGTTGGGTGGATAGAGAGAGAGAGAGAGGGATTAATCACTGACGAACCGACGGAACACCTATACCGGAGAAATGGAAAGTGATAACAAACAACAAGTGGAAGAGAGAGAGGGGAAAGAAAATACACATATAGAGCAAATCATGCAGCTATATGATGGATTGATATTACTATGAGCAGCTGGTCGAAGAAGCAGCCGGTGAAGACAGGACTCCAGGTGAACATAGACAAGACAGAGGTTATGAAAATAACTAACCAACCAACACGAACAACAACAACATTCAACGCCAATCACCATCAACGGGAGGGATTTGAAAGAGGTTACTTCATTCACTCACATATCTAGGGAGCATTGTCTCAACCACAGGCAGTTGGAACGAACGAGGATGTCAAATCAAGCGAGAATCGGGAAGGTAGGGAAGAAACACATTCATCAATCTGAAACAACCAATCTGGAAATCTTCGTCACTCAGCCAGAATCAACAACAAAATTCGGTCGGATTTTCAATACAAACCACATCAAGTCAGTCAGTTCTTCTATACGGATCAGAAACTTGGCGGGCGTGTCACAAAGAATATTTCCAACAGACTGTTGCAGACCTTCACCAACAACTGTCTTCGCTGGATCTATACTGAATATCCGATGGCCTGGTCGGAAAGAATCACCAACAAGAAACTATGGGAACAAACACAACAAGAACCAATCGCCGCCCAACAAATATGCAGGAGAAAGTGGAGATAGAATGGACACTCGCTGAGGAGGCCGCTGGATGACATCGCGCGTCAAGCCCTCGAGTGGAACCCGAAAGGGAAACGGCGAGTGGGACGTCAGCGCAAGGGTGACATGGAGGAGGTCGTGTGAAGAGGAGTTGAAAGAGTATGGATTAACTAACACGGATGCAGGTGAAAAGTACAGCAGAAGGAAGACAGAAGCAAGTGGAGACGTCCAGTTGAAGCCCTATGTTCCACTAGGAACCCAAGGGAACAATAATAATAATAAAAAGTCCTCGGTGTTTGTTTCTGTTGATGACTGAATTGCATCAATCAAGTTTGAAGTGTCATCACCAAACTATGTGCCTTGCACCCCGAATCGATGTTAGACGATTGAGGGCAAACCCGCTAGAAGCCCTGTAGGTCCCTATAGGAGGTCAACCATAAATTCGAATACCGCATAGTGGTAACATGGGTCTAAATCGCAGGGGAGGGGCATAAATCCCCTCAGTGCAATGTAGGCCTTGTTGACAAGTGTCAACAACCACGAAATCTAGATCATCCAGAGTCCCCGTCTGCCGATTGCCTCCAAATGTAATGGAATGTTACATCCAACAACCATACTTGCAATTCCTTGTAAAGTTGGTAATTCCACCAAAACTATTTTACTGTGAAGACTACTGATAGCCAACTTGCTGTCGCCGAAGCCTACAATAGGCCCACTGGTTAGAGGTCGACTGCTTAAACCAATAAGCTGCAGCTCTGATGTCAACACTAATAATTTCATGAAAAATGGAAGCTATTGAGTTAATTTAAAGATCTGCGACAATCGAAAAAGGCATCAATTATCTGCAACACAATGAAAAGTAAGGCAGAGATAAATATGACGCGGAGTCTCCAGTCTCACATCTATCCATCCCTATTTTCCGCGCTTATTGCTGGAGATGTTAAGGTTAGGGTTGGGGCTAGAAGTCGAACCTGGACCTCTCACCATATATATATATAGCTGATGAATATCATACCATTGAAACACTAGATGCGTAAACAATTCCCCAACCACTCAATATGGCTTAATTGACTAATGATATGAGTATTTCCATCATTTACGCGTAAAAACTAAGGAGAAAAACAATGGGGTGGGTGGGATAGCTGAATATTTATCGATTTTTCTCACTATTAGCCTTATCACAACTACACATCTAAAGACACATAGTTTACCACCATGCATCTGTCTCATAGACGATAAATTTTACGCTTATTTCTGTTTGCAAAGTAGCAAGTGTTTCTTGAAAATACAAACAAGTATCACTATGGAATTAGGATGGTAAGAGGCAAGCACTTGACACAACGTCTACTGTTATACCTATAATGACTGTGTATTTTTGAAATGAATTCAAAAGGCAAGCATAAATATAACACGCCACATACTACTGATTGATTGACATGAGTACTTGTATACTACTCACATCAACATCCGCAGTTCTTGTTAGCCAGCTAGATCGAAGTAATGTAAACAAATTGGAAGGCCGTTTGCACCGGTTTAGCACCGAGCTCGCAGAAAATGGAATTCAAGTACCACTGAGTTGGGTCCCATGTGGCTGAACGGTCCACGAGCTCACCTCGTAACCCGAAGGGTCTGAGCTCGAACCCAAGCAGTAGGTGCGTACTGACTAACAGTGACAAACAAGGTTGACGAAACAGTTATCCAGTACTCCCAACTGGTTTCGAATTGAGTAAATTTTAAACTAATTTATCAAATTGAGAATTTGACCTAACATATTACCACAATTCGCGTGATTTGAACTGAGTGAAACCAACTACACCGGTGATGACGGGCTCGGTTCCAAACGAGGAAAACGCCCGTTCGATCGCTTCACTTAGATAGGGCTGGCTACCGAATACTGCTGGTATATGTGAGAGTATATAGTTGTATGCATTTGTACTTGGTGTCTTGATTAACACCCATAGTATCAAGCAGATAATATGCTGTGTGTGATCGGGATAATCTCGGTTTCCACAGGGAACTGTGGTGAAATTCTAATACCAAGGTACGGTTTTATTCCTTTACAATCCCAGTGGATTATATAGGGCTTCAAGTCAGAGCTTCGAAGTTTTAGTAGCAGTGGTGTTTATTTTTACGAGGTGCGGGGGGGGGGTGGCTAGCTTCACGCTAGTCCAGCCTTCCATTTTTACCGGTCTTGTTACCGGTTTAGCGAGGGGTTGAGAAGTGCATCGGCCAGTCGTCGAACCTCGGATCACATCAATGATTGGTGAGCATTCTACCTTAACCGTAAGCCACCAATCCACTGGAACAAGATGTATATTGCTAACTGATTTGTAAATTACAATCGTAAAACGATCCTTCCCACAAGCAAGCTGAAGAGTCGCAAACTATGCTGACGAAATACAGTTGCGCTAGTTTTCAATGGTTGTCTAACTAATGTTAGTCAATTCGTGAGCATACATCGCTACTACCTGATGAAAAATAAAAGAAGAAAGGAGAACAGAATAAAAAAATAAAGAGACAATTTTTTTGTTACCAAAATTGATCCAATAACCACCAGGTTTAAGTATACGCCATATTGTATTCAAATAGTCGAGAATATTATGCGCTGTATCAATGAAGAAGACAGTAGCTATACAATCCCATGCATCTGAAAATGATAAAGAAAGAAATAACAAATATGAAAACGACTATTTAAGGCATTAGTTGCAACTCAAAGAAGGTGACGGTAGGTGTATCCCCATTTCAGTTTAATTTCATCATAGACGTACTAATGGATTTAACCCTAACTCACTTCAGAGACTCGGGGATTGACTTGCTACCAGGGGATATTCTTGTTGACTTAGAATATGCAGACGATATAGTCCTTCCACGCGAGGACGCTGAGAAAATCCAGCAGAGTCTTCTGAACACCTTGATCTGCAATCTACGAATGTTTGGTATGCGATTCGCTCCCGCCAAATGCAAGATAACGTTACAGGACTAGACTACACTGACTCCTAGTTTAGAAATAGGGTGTGAAGTGGTAGAGCACGTTGACCGCTTCACTTATTTGAGAAGTACCATCAGCCAACGCCAATGGGTTAATCTCTGACGAAATCTCAGCACGGATACAGAGGGCTAGTTTCGCATATGCCAGTTTACCCAATCTGTGGCGTAGACGTGATATCCGGCTATCGACCAAAGGGAGCGTGTACTGCTCATCAGTCGGCTCCGTCCTCCTTTATGGCTGTCAGAGCTGGCCACTGATAGTGGAAGACATGAAAACCCTAGCTAGCTGTCTTTGATCACAAGTGCCTGAGTTCTACCTCCCGTGTGAAATGGTATAATAAGGTGAGAAATATTGAGGTTAGGCATCGGTCGAGTGCTAGGTGAGTTGGAGGGGAAATCAGTCGACGAGGCTGTGAAGTTACATCGACTGAGATGGTTAGGACATGTGTTACGCATGCATGCCTAGTCATCGCCTTCCTCGACAGACGGGCAATGTTAGCTGACATAGGGTCAGGCTGGAAAAGAGCTAGCCAGCGGTGGTTAAACCAAAACATGGCTTAACCACTCAATGGTAAAAAATTGGACCTGGTATTTATCAATGATGTTGGTATATATGAAGCTCGCAAACGTGCTCCTCTACTTAATTCTGACCACTGCATCATACGTGTGCTGCCTAAAATATATTCCAAATCACACAAAGGTGTCCTCTCTCACCTCTGCAGTAAAGTTCAACGGAGATGCTACTCAAAAGACAACCTAGACAAGCTCAGATGCATGTTGAAAGACACTAACTGGGACTTATTTACAGAACAAACATTAGATGAAACAATCACAAACACTACTGATTATCTTAAATTCTGTTTCGAAATATGTTGTCCTAAAGAAACATTATTCATCCGATTTGATCGCTTATCTTCGCCATATCTCAAAAAGCTACGTAGAAATAAAGAACTGTTGTTCAAAACTAATGATAAGCCTGGTGTAAAAAAGTTAAACATGCTGATAAAACTGGAAATAAAAAGACTAAGTGTTTTATATAATCAAAGATTTTTGTCATGTAAAACCCCTTCTAATTTATGGAAACTTTTCAAAGAAATTACTAACGGTAAGCGATGTATTTCTGTTCCATCTCTTAATGTTGACACTCTTAATAAATCTTTCATACGCTCTTCTGTTGATACCCTTCCAAATGATACAAATCATATTGACAATAACTTTAGTGGTTTTAATACCCTTGATGTGCTTAAATGTCTCCGGTCTCTTAAGCCTTCTCAAAGCCTTGGTCCTGACGGCATACCTGCCATTGTCCTCAGGAATTGTGCTGATATTTTGTGTTATCCTCTTACTAACATTTTTAATGCCTCTTTTTCCGGTAACGTTCTACCTTTTGCATGGAAAAACATTAAAATTATCCCTATACCAAAACCATCTTCTGGTTCTGATATTAAATTTCGGCCTATTGCAATTACTTCCCCCTTTTTAAAATTGATGGAAAAATTACTTTTACTTCGTCTTGAACCCGCTTTGAAACCTTTTAATGATCCTAAACAATTTGCATACAAACATGGTAGAAGTACCTTGGATGCTGCGGTTGTCTTATATCACAATGTTGTCTCTTGTTTAGACAAAGGTGCTAAATATGTTCGTAGTGCTTTCTTAGACTACACATCTGCTTTTGACTCTGTACCTAGGGGCCTTTTATTAAATAAGCTATCGTTGACACAAACAGGATCCTGGGCTAAGAGTTGGTTGCATTCCTATTTTTCTGATAGAATGCAGTATACTGTATATAACGGCAAATCTTCTTCTACCTCGCTTACAAAATCCGGTGTTCCACAAGGTGCTGTCCTCTCTCCTTTTCTTTTTTCTTTCTTCCTACATGACCTGCCTCATTCAAACGAAACTAACTTTGTCAAATATGCAGATGATCTGACTGTATCACTGCCTATCACTTCCGAGTCTGACAGCTCCAAACTTAATAGCTTTCTGTTGGACATCAACAACTGGTCCAAGTCAAATGGTCTTATATTAAATCCTTCCAAATGTCAGGTGCTTGACTTTACTTTCAAGCATCGACGTGACTTACTTGAACTAGTTAACTCTCATGATCCCTGTAGCATAGATGGCACGGAAATTGAAACCAAATCAAGTATTAAATACCTTGGACTAGTTTTTTCCTCTGACCTTTCATGGTCATCCCATATCTTATCTATCTCTAAGAAAATGTTTCGTCTTACCTTCTACATTAAAAAGTTAAGACAATCAGGTATCAACCAACCTTTAGTTTTGCAATTTTTAAACTCCTGTATTTTACCTATTGTACTCTACTGCTCTCCATTAATCTTTCCTGGGCTGCTCAAAAAAGATTATATCATATTACGAAGAGTATTAAATGCTGTGAGTAGAGCTTGTGGTCTGCCACTGCATGAGCTCGCTAATACTATAGTCGAGAGGCATATAAATTCCTGTACGAAATGGGCAAAGGCTATAATGTCAGACCCTCTGCACCCCCTTTATTCACACCTGTCCCCTTGTATCTCATCAGGTAGGACGAGAAGTCAATATAAAAAGATATATGCTCGTACTACTAAGTATAGAAATTCTACAATACCCTATTTAGCGCGTACTTTATGTGACGAAGACTCTGTTAGACGTGAAACTTACAAGTTACTATGTAATTAGCACAGTGAATCGACCCTTTTATCGTTCATCTTTCTGTATTTTATGGTGTTACACTTTCTATCGTTTAAATCGTTACTCTGCTATTTTATATTAGTTGGTATTACTATTATTACTACAATTTTGTACTTTATACATATTTTTCTCCGTATGGCACACAGTATTTTGCTACGTAGCTGCTACAACAATCGTTTTATTACTATTATGTATTGTGTATTTTTAATTTTTTTTGTCGTTTTTGGGTAAATTAGATGCAATATTGTACTGAATGCTGAAAATTCCTTGCTGTATCATGAGTACTGTTTTTGGAATAAAGCAATTATTATTATTATTATTATTAATGAAATCCATAACAGTTAGTTTAAACCACGTAGGAAGGTGTAAACTTCCTGACTGGTTGGGTCCTCGGGACGGTAAAAACCAACGGTTGGAAACAATTGGTGATATGGCTCAAAATTGTTCTCAATAGAGGCGCAGATGCACCCACTCCCTGTGACTTATGATTTCCGGTGGAACTATATTGTTCTTCGTTATTACTATTCCTTTGTCTCAGACCCCTGTCTGCTGTCTGTATTATGCACTTCTTCTACTTTCTTCTTTTGCTTTGTGTGCTACACGGAGGGAGTGTGGTGACTGGAACTGCTGCACAGATGTGCAAAGTTCTATGTCGAAGACAGACAGACAAACAGATTCGTTAACAATGATGTAAGAATAAAATTTGTGCAGTGGTAGAGTATAATTCCATTACAGGTAGAATTCATTTTGATAAAGTCTCACAGTAATGCATCTACGGTAATATTTACTGATGACCACGTTTCGAACAGAATTTATTTCTGCTCATAATCATATCAAGACACTAATCACACAACTTTTTAACTTCGTTGATATAATTCCATTATTTCCTATCGCTTGATTTGATTGGTAGCAATATTTTCCATATTTCCGGAATAAGTAATGAGTCACTCATATTGCTTGTGTTGGGTGTAAACTCAATGAGCAAGGATTCAGTAATCCATCTCCCTCGCTCTCCACCTACATAGATTACTTTTTAGAATCTTAACCATCTCACACCCTATTGTGTGTTAATGCATGTAGTGCAATTGATGAGCTGTTTTCTGAATTACTCATAATCTCGGGGTCAACCATTCTTACCTTAGCTAAATTCTTATGTTCCGACAATCTGACTACTCCCAATCTTCTAGTTTGACCTATGTAGATGATCTCACAGTCATTGAAGGGTATTTTGTAAATTATATTATTCTGCCTAATTGGGTCAGCAGGGTCTTTTAACCTACAGAGCTTGTCCTACCTGAGTGAGTTTGTAGGTTTAAATGCCACCCTAATTCCTGTTTTATTAAGAACCCTGCGTAGGGTCTCAGATGTCCCCTCCCTATATGATAAAACAGCAGATGACTTATATTCTGTTTTATTTATGTTATCATTACTAGTTTCACAACTGTTTTTATTTTGTTTTGCTTTTCTGATCTTCCTAATAAATTTTATAGGATAGTTACTTATTTAACACCAGCCAGCCATTCTTCTATCTGTTTTATTTCATCATTTAGGTCTTTTCTTGTACTATTCAATGCTACTTCTCGGTTTGTTAGACACTTAACTAAGCCTGCCTTAACAGTTATCGAAATAAATTTTACACATAATGGAATTCATTGGCAATGATTTCTGAGCGAAAAACATGGATACACATTAAAGAAGTACTCAAAATGAATAATAATAATAATTATCATAAATATCATAAACATTACCTGGTTCAGTGTAAATCTCAATGAAATCACCTGCTGCCATAGAGAATTGTACATTGGGTGGTAAATCAGCTGGACAAACATCAGGGAAGTGGACGGCAGACAGTTGATCTTCACGAGTCATATTATTACAGAATTGAGAAACCCATGGATATAATTTATATTCATTGACTTTTTTACATCTACAATAAAAATAGGAAACACATATATGACGATTTTAAATATTACGCTTCATAGTTGAGATGAAGTGATTATACAATAATTTATGGTGAATTGAATATATATATATATATATATATATATATGTACATTAGCTTACTCAGATGCTTGATTTTGGCGACCATTTCAACTAACTGAAAAGGCAATACCAGTTCTAGTTAGCTACTGCCTAACAAAACTGCAGTATAGATACACAACGTCTATCTGATACTTAAAAAATCAATGCTATCTCTACAGCTGGCTGACTGTTCTTCAAAAAGGCATCCTTCTAAACGTTTCATCTTATCTGTTATACACACAAGATACATTCTTTGAAGATGGAATGCATGAAAATGTTACAAATAACTTGAGAGAACCATTTGCGTAAGATGTAGATAAATGTTTATCATTATTATTGTTCCCTTGGGTTCCTAGTGGAACATAGGGCTTCAACTGGACGTCTCCACTTGCTTCTGTCTTCCTTCTGTTGTACTTTTCACCTGCATCCATGTTAGTTAATCCATACTCTTTCAACTCCTCTTCACACGACCTCCTCCATGTCACCCTTGCACTGACGTCCCACTCGCCGTTTCCTTTTCGGGTTCCACTCGAGGGCTTGACGCGCGATGTCATCCAGCGGCCTCCTCAGCGAGTGTCCAATCCATCTCCACTTTTTCCTGCATATTTGTTGGTTGGCGATTGGTTCTTGTTTTGTTTGTTCCCATAGTTTCTTGTTGGTGATTCTTTCCGGCCAGGCCATCTGATATTCAGTATAGAGCCAGCGAGGACAGTTGTTGGTGAAGGTCTGCAACAGTCTGTTGGAAATATTCTTTGTGACACGCCCGCCAAGTTTCTGATCCGTATAGAAGAACTGACTGACTTGATGTGGTTTGTATTGAAAATCCGACCGAATTTTGTTGTTGATTCAGGCTGAGTGACGAAGATTTCCAGATTGGTTGTTTCAGATTGATGAATGTGTCTCTTCCCTACCTTCCCGATTCTCGCTTGATTTGACATCCTCGTTCGTTCCAACTGCCTGTGGTTGAAACAATGCTCCCTAGATAAGTGAGTGAATGAAGTAACCTCTTTCAAATCCCTCATGCTGTTGTTGTTGGTTGGTTATTTTCATAACCTCCATCTTGTCTATGTTCACCTGGAGTCCTGTCTTCGCCGGCTGCTTCTTCGACCAGTTTGTCGGTCGGTTTTCGCTTGTAAGTCTTCGACTTTGTGTGACATCAAAAATGAATGTTAGTGAATGAATATTAGTCTGTTATACAGAGGTGTGAACCCATAAATACTAGAATGAATAGAATATATCCTTGATTGGACACTAGTCACTAACTAATGTAATGTGTATGTCTAGTCCTATCTTTGGTGCAGACTGAATTCTATCAGTCAAATTTTTGCAATGTGGCCATTATGCTGCCTACGTGGTTCGCCATCGCGGTGAACTGTGAATTGTTAGTATTAGATGGTTCGGCATGAGTTTCGTGCTAGTTGGCAGTCATCAGCAAGGCTTATCTGCAACCTCGAAGGAACTCATGTCCCTGCTCCTGAGATTCGAACCCGCATCACCCATTGAGTACTGTGGTCAGAGACGCTACTATTGAGCTATTCGGGCTCGCGACTGACCTCCTGTAGGACCGCACTGGATATTTTTGATTGAACACCAGTTAGTAACTGGTGTAGTTTGTATGTATAGTTCAAGTCTAGTTTAGTGCTGATGAGTGCCAACTAGAACGAAACTCAGGTCAAAGGCTTCCTGCTGATCGCCTCCAACTATCTAATACCAACAACTCATATATCCTTGATGAATGACTGACTGACTGACTGAGTTTCAACAGAGAACTTTGCAAAGAATTGCAGTAGTTTCTGTTGACACACCTCATATAGCACATAAAGGTAGAGAAATGAGAGAAGAGATTGAATAGGAAGTATAGTAGGCAAAAATGTACGAGAAAGAACAATAACATGAAAATACATGGACGTCTAATGGATATGAGAGATAAAAAAGAGCGAATGCATCTGCGCCAAATGAAAACGACTTTGAACTATACAACCAACAATCTCAAGCCGTTAGTTTTCAGCGTCCCGAGAACACCAACCAGGTAAAGTGTACCACATGTACCCGTCCAAAATTCAGCGTGAACATGGCGAAAAATTGTAAATTCATGAATTTAGTGTGAAGCTGTAGCTTATGACATCCAAGCACTTGGCTTTCAACCAGGAGTACTCCAGTATAGACTTCGGATTCAAACAGCTGGTTGGCATTTTACACCGCTTCTACAAGATCTACGGCTTTTAGTCTGCTGCAACCGGTTATCGCTGCGGTCAGAATACTAAAAAACATTCGCAACAGACACAGAACACAAACCAACACAATCACTTCATTCAACATTATGCATAGAGAAAAAACCAAAACAAAAGAAAACAAGATCAACTGTATTAACTGTGATAACTTTATATCAATCAAAATGGACATCTCCCTACACTCTGAATCCAAGACTATATAGTAGCTGTTAAAAGACGCGACATATATTCTTGCATATCAATGTGTTCAGAGGAGGATGAACACAAATCCGACTGGGGAAGTGTAGAAATTTTAGACAGTGGAAACAACAAAGCTGATGGGGAATTACTAAAAGTCAGGTACCCAAATTATCCCTGGCCAACAGTAGCAGAAATAACAGACAACAATCAGCATAAATGGGAGGAACCTGAAAGAAACAACCTCCCTTACCTACCCTACGTAGGAAGCATCATTTCAACTACAGGCGGATGGAACTGACGAGGATATCAAAGCAAGAATCGGAAAAGCAAGACAAGCTTTCATTAATCCTAAGTCTGTGTGGAGGTCAACAGCACTCAACATCAAAAATAACATCAGGATTTTCAACTCCAATGTGAAGTCAGTCAGTTCTACTTACTATACGGATCAGAGACTTGGCGCGTCATATAGAGCAACTCGAACAAACTACAAACCTTCATTAACAGTTGTCTTTGCTCAATACTCAAGATCAGATGGCCGGTCAGAAACGATCAGCAACAGAGGGATCTCTGGCAATGAGCGAACCAACCAACCAGGAACCGATTGTGAAACAAATAGGCAGGAAGAAATGGAGATGGGTTGGTGACCATACTCTGAGGAAACCACCAAGTGACATCGCTAGACAAGCCATTGCTCGAGTGGAACCCGAAAGGGAAGCGGCAAGTTGGTCGTCACACGGTGGGGTGACTTGGAGGAGGTCACGTGAAGAGGAGATGAAAGCATGTGGACAGACCTGGAGCCAGGTGAAAACTCTAGCAGAAAACCGAACGTAATGGAGACCGTGTTTTCAACTTTTTTTGATCTGGTATCGGAAGTGTCGAAAAAGGCCTTGAGAATGCCAATTATTGTTGAAATCGATCAGGTAGAATAAAAAATAATGCTGTTCAAAGTTGAAATGTAGCTTGAAGTTCTGGAAACATGCAAACAGGTAGTGAACTACTTCAGAAAAACAGCTCAGAATCCTGTTTTGTGCCAGAAATCGTATCATTTTATCATTAACCCAGTATAAGCCAAAATTCTTAGTTCAGAACTTCCTAGCATTATTTTCACACTGTGGTAAGCTTGCATCTCTACACATGAAGTTTAATTATTCTTATATTCATATACATTACAAATCACACCTTAATGGTGACCTCCATCTACTCTAATGAACTCATAAATCATTAATTGGCAGATGAAACCTGAATATATATATGATTAGAAAAAAACAAAGCAATTTTGGTTTCACTTCTTCCAATTTTATTAAGGTCATTCATTGAAGTTAAGAGAGACAGGGAGAGAGAAACTTTTCTAGTAGGACTGAGAAATTGTGGTTATTATAAGTAGAAATGCGGTTGGAGCTGTCTGCTAGCCAAATCGGTAGACAGTAGTTTACGTCAATGTTTATGTCCCAAGTATTGGTCATGTGAAAACAAGAATAAAGACTGACCCAAAAACCAATCACAGCAGACTTTGCGTAAGCGGATACAATTTGCAGATAGATGATCTGACATGGATGGCCAGAAAAGACCAGCAATAGGGATCTCTGGCAATGAGCGAACCAACCAAGAACTGATTGTGAAACAAAAAGGTAGGAAGAGATGGAGATGGATTGGTGGCCATACTCTGAGGAAACCATCAAGTGACATCACTAGACAAGCCATCGCTTGAGTGGAACCCGAAAAGGAAGCGGCGAGTATGTCGTCACACGGTGGGGTGACCTGGAGGAGGTCATGTGAAGAGGAGATGAAAGCGTGTGGGCAGACTTGGAGCGGGGTGGAAAAGTTGGCAGAAAACCGAAGGCAATGGAGACACGCGGCTGAAGCCCTATGTTCCTGTAGGAATTAAGGGAAATAATAATAATAACAGACACATCAATATACACCGAATTTATCAGCTAACAAAGAATAAGCCACATGACAAAAACGAGTAGAATTGCCAGCCAATGAAAAGAAAATCAAAACTAATGTGAATTGACTACTGATCATGAAGAAAGGTTGTCAAGTGATACAGTCATACCATTCCTGAAGAATTCAAAAAGATCAACTTCACAATAAGACTTCTGTTGTAGGAGATATCGTTTCTAGAAGGCCAATGAAAATTTCGCAATTAATCTGCCAAGTTCAAAGAATAAAACCACATCAAAACCATCCACCTGACACCTACAAGTCTCTACTACTAGGGATTAACTTCCTAAATTACATCGAAAAAACAAACAAACATGGAGTTAAAATGTATAAAACAGTATATAAGTGGAATGCATAGAGACATACGTGTTTAGGATAAAATATGCTGGAATTAGCATAAATAGACTCCACTCATTTCCCTGACATGTGTATCCAAGATGAGCAAGTTCCCAAGCCAATCGACCAAGACCAGCGCCAGGTACTAGGATATTCACATTTGCTGGATTTCTAATAATGCATAAAAAAATTATTAAAAACTTGTTTTAATGCACTAATAAGAGAATCACTGTCAATATGAACTTACATAGATATTCATGCATGTGTATATATGCTCAGAGGAACTAGTCAGTGCTTCATCGTTGTATGATCACAGCTAGAGTGAGCATGATGCAGAAATCAATCTAATGGAAATACACGGAGATTAATATGGAGGTCTTAATGATTCATGCATGAAGAAATAGGCTACAATACCAATTTTAACCAACATAATATAACAGTTTTTTATTTGACACTAGTAACTAGTGTGATGCGTCTAGTCCTCTGATTGGTGTAGACTGAATTCTATCAGTCAGGTTGTAATTTGACCACCATTCTAGCTAGCTTGCCATCACGGTGCAGATTGATTTGATGGTATTAGATGGCTGGAGGCAATCGGCTACAGGAAGCCTTGGACCTAGGTTTCGTGCAGTTTAAATCACACAGTAGGAAATTACTGTTATTCACTAAAACAGTCTACTTTACAAGTCAAAATGAAGTGTTTTCTAGCAACCGCGATGGTGTTTGATGGCACTACCTGCCTGCCTAAACATCAATATGTGAGCCAAGATTCTAATTAATAGCCCAGATTCAGATCCAGTAGGCTCTTGTGCCTGTGTTAATCTTTGCAAAATATATCTCTGCAGAGATCTAACTTCTCTTTGAAAGCGTTCACCGATGGAACTTATACTACTACTACTAAGGAGTTCCAGTTGTTGACCACTCTGTGAGAGAATCTAAATTCTGCACGTATTTAATCGTTCTCGGTTTGAGCACCTTTTTGCGATGACCCCGTAAACGTATCCTAGAAGGCGAGAAAAGTTTAGAAAGGTCAATTCCTAAATCACCCTTAAGTATACGGCGTGCTAAAATTACGTTGCCTCTCTTCCTCCGGTATTATAATGGGAAGAGATTTAAATGCTCCATCCTCCCCTCTTAAGGAAGATGTGAGATACCACTAACTAATTTTGTTCCTACTCTCTGTACTCTTTCCAGGATATGTGCCTCTTTTTTGAAGCATGGACTCGCCGCTTGTATGCAGTATTCTAGATGAGGCCTGGCATATGTTGCGTAGAGTATTTGGAACATGCCCTCGTCTAATCGTTTGAAGTGCCCGTAGCATTTGAAAAGCTTTAGCTGCGGCTGCATTGCAATTCGCAGTTGTTTTTAAATCATTGCTGACAACGATTCGTAGGTCTTTCTGTTCGTTAACATCAGGTAGTTCTGTGTCCCCTAGGGAGTACGATGTATAAGACTTCTGACCTAAGTGCATTACCACGCTTTTCCCAGAATTCATTTCCAAACTCCACAGGTTCGACCACTCAGCTAATTTATCTAGATCAGTTTGTAGGGCCAATCTATCCTCGCTATTATTTACAGTTTCCCATATCTTAATGTCGTCTGCAAGTAATAATGAAGATGAAGTAAGAATCCCCGGTAGTTCATTAACGTATATTAGGAATAGCAAGGGGCCTAATACAGTTCCCTGAGGCACTCCACTGGATACTGCTTTCCACACTGATAGTAGTTTTAATCTTAGCAATTAAACCAATAAACCACAGATTTACGCTGTAAAGTAGTACAGGGGAACTATCAACTGCTGACAATATATTATTGTAGATGAGTTTTGTAAGTAGACGTGTATAACATGTAATTTCCACTAAATAAATATGACAATGTCTATATGAACAGCGACTACATATATACTGCTTCGTACTCAGTTTACTGATCAGCTCTTACGAGTGCTAATTATCGAACTAGTGGTTAAACTATGACTAAGTATTCCTGGGACTCGGATTTCCTGCATTATACAGACTTAAAACGTCGCACCTTAGTCGATGGGACACCAAGTCTTGAAACCATTTCTAGGGTAAGATGATGGAGCAATGGAGAAGCATTTGTACATAGGCTGTCGAAAAGTTTATTTTCCGATATTCTGATGCACGAATGTTGCCACTTTGCTAATTTAACGCAACAAAATACCGCTTAGTTAGATTTCATACCTCCAAAAGAGAAAGGTGACTGCAACAAGTTGGTTAAAAACCATCTACATCTAGTCATATTAAAGTGACACAGATGCAAAGGCTTTCGACAGTTTAAGCTGCTTAAACAAAAGAGTTAATGACACCCCTGAATAATAATGCTATAGGAGAAACTAAGGAATATAAGACAGTGAACTACAATTCACATATTCAAGTACGACACTTAACAAAAATAAGCTGCATGTAATCGCAACGTAACACGAGTTGCCCAAATCTACTCAGAAGGATGATAAACCCTAATGTAAACCTAATGCATTGGAAATTTCTCCATAAGACCTTAATTATCCATAAAAAATTCCAAATGATTGTATATGATAATCATGCGGAATGTTTTATTATCCCAGGCATATAAAAAGAACTCACACTGTTCTACAGAGTGAAACCGTCAACTTTTAAAAAATTCTGCCTTGACTTAAAGGTATGGAGAAAGACACGACAGACTTACACCTTTTTCGGATCGAACAGCTCAAGAACATCATTCAATACGACTTGATAGCAAGTATCACGTTCTGATTTTCCTTCAGCTGACCAGTCTCTCACAAATTGTTTTAAAGCTGACCTGACTTTATCCATGTCAGTGTTGGTAAATGCGAATGGACCGAATTTACTCCCAGCACAAGCGCTTTGATCTAGCTTTCCATTTGCACGAGCAACCGGTGTCCCCACTGCATTCAATTCGAGGCCTTGTTTATCAAAATAAAAGCTGCCAAAAACCTACATGTTCCCCATTGAAAATATCCGGTGCGGAATGTTGGATAATAACAGCAATCAAATAGTTATTATGCTTAATACACTCTTCGACTTTCTTGAGATTATCATCGAATTCTTGTATAAGTTTATGATGGGAAAGAGACAATGACTTGTGATAAGCTCTTGAACGTTCTACTCTCTTGAGGAGGTGGGCTCTGTGTATGAAGTCAAAATACGCAATTAAAGAACTCACCCGAAAAATTTAAAGGCTGCCAATGTTTTGATAAAGTGCTGACGGTCCATTTCGGCAGCCTCCCGCATTTGTTCGTCAGAACCTGTCATCCTGAGATGAAAACCAAAATCGGCGCAAATTACAAGGTCACCGAGGTTTGACTTACCAAATGCCTTAAACTAACAAAATTTGAAACTTGTTTTATAAAGAATTTCTCACCTATATCACTACTACACCGGCAAATACAGTATTTGTTTTATTTTGTTTGGTTAACAAAAGAGCGAGGGGTTATTTGAGATGCTCATTCTCATACTATCCAGCGTCCAATATTTATTCTAAATACTCAGACTCTGATTTTCCTCTGAGAATAGAAGACATCAAACTTCTTTAATTGAATTTAAGATTTCCCTGTCAATTGACTCAACCGAAGTGCCAGGTCTCAGGTTGACATGTCGGCTTCTTGTGCAGATGCTTCGACGATATCTGGGCATATAATTAGAATTTAATTGGTGGATGGTCAATAGCAGTATAATCTAAACTTTAATTAAAAATAACATGACCGGTTGCACAAGGGGTGGCTTTCGTAGCCCAATCGATCAAGTGAGTAACGTGTTGGCGTTCGAAGCTTTGGCCACTGGGTTCGAGCCTCGGCGGGAACATCATCACTCCCTGGGGAATGCAGGTACATCCAGCCACCAACGGGTCTCAAAAGGAAGAAATGCGTATCCTGAATTCAACTTCTAAATACCATTCACCAATTAATTTCAATCTTCTGTCGGTACTGCTCTTAAAAGTATATGAGCTCACCTAATCCCTTCTTGAACAAATTGCTTTGTGACACAGCAATTCTGAGTATCAGTTCCATGAGTTAACGACTCCCTGAGAGATCAGGGGCTCCACGAGGGTTTCGTTCCCCTTTCTTTTCGAACGTTCCAGCTTTGTTCACTACGGCGTACCAGTATGATGAAAAGGAAGGAAGATGACTGACTAAATTTAAAGTCATTACTTTTAATTTTGAAGATTTCCTTCTATGATATGATAAGAAGTGATTTTGCCATTCATTTGCTTCTTGTATTAACATTTATCAAGTGTATGTATAATCTCCAGTGTACATGTTAAACACATTTTGCTATCGATTGTAAATTGTGACTGAATAATATGGTCCTATTTCTGTAACAATTTGATGATGCCTGTAAACTGGCGTCCCTCATGTACTGTATCATGAGAATAAATTTATTTATTTATTTATAATACGTTAATCACACTGAGAATTATTCGTGTAACCTTGCCTATCTGAAACATGTAATTTCTTCTGAGCCAAAGAATACCCGTCTGTATTCAACGATTCTGTTTCTGACCTCATCAAAATGCATATTGAAAGGTGAACTTTTTATTGGTAATTCTTGTAGAGACTCCATATAGTTTCCATAGGGATCACAAGTTGAGGGTTGCCAGTGATCAACGATTAGTCATGGTACTCAGTAATGACTTACTGTGACACCTAAGTTCGTGTGAGTGTGAAATGAAGAGAGTGGTATCGCCTATATTTAGTGTGCACTAACACTTAAGTGCCCAACTCGCATGTTTGCAACGCTGTCTACACTGATTGAGAGCACCAGGTCTAAACAGTTAAGATCTGTTGGACGTGTAATAATATCGCTACGTTCCTCGCGCTTGCTTCTAACTGTTTGGTTATCTGCATGGAAAAACATAGGAGATAATAATAATAATAATGTATATTCTCATATAAACATATAAATTTACATGAAAAAGCATGCCATTTTTAAAGGCACGATCAAGTATGATATAATATCAAATCGTAGATTGTCTACAAGTTAATAATGTTTCAACAGTTAAATATTTGATATATATATAAATACACATTGTCTGAACTAGGCTGTATAGTTATTGAACTGTACAATTGTCCTCCAGGTTGAGCAGGAAAATCGACTTCGTTTCGTTTTCATCCCGTGGTTGTCGGCATACGATAACCAACCAATATTGAGGTAAGTACAACGTTTACAAGGGATTGAAAGCTGTTTTAGAAAAGTAAAAGTGCTGAGGTGAATCATTAAATTGTAATGAAATAGGTAAGTGCAAGTATCATTAATAAATGCATTAATAAAGAAAACTCCCTAGGCTGACAACGTTCATTTGCAATGTATAATGCTACACATATATCTCGTACTATCATGATGTCCACTTTTGGTTTTAATACATTTATCCTCAGTTGTGCCAGTTGTTTTTGTTTTATACCTTTTTGTGCATTTAGTGCACAACCGTACCCTTCAGAGAGTAGGAATATAATAAGTCATAAAGAGCTGTAAAATGTTAGGTTTAATGGGATATAATGAGGATCAATTAAAGACGTTATTGGAAAATGAATGAGATAAGACATTGTGAAGTGGTATTTAAAGATCAGACAATGGACAGCAAGTTAGTTTATAAGATGCCCCATAAATCAGTGCAGATCCCGCGTGGTCGCGTCTCAACAATAGGCTGAGCGAATGGTATATATTTAAAGGTAGAAGCATGATCTGTCAAGGCGTTCATTATTATCTTTTTCAAGATAAAGATCTAAGCCCTCATAAAAATCAGAAATATCTCGAGCCTTTAATTTGTATATTACTGTTCTTGCAGAATGGGGCGATTCACCTTAGTGACCCCCACCATATCTACTGATCAGCTAACGCCACCCTCCCTCCTTAAATGTGATGTGATTAGCCATGTCAATTGCTCATATACGGGGTAAACAAAGGGATCAAGGCACAGTATTTTACAATATGCTGCTAACCGTTCTCCACTGAGGCAGACCTGAGTTGATCCCAAATTCCTGCCTCCTAGCTGTTTGAAATTCCTTGATTTAGTTGAGCAGGGTGCTCTTTTTTTAAAACTGCAGTTTCATGTGCAATTTTTCATGAAGTACTTTGTCTTAAGCCAGCTGACATCTCTGAAGACAATGTCCTTTTTTCTCACTGTTCCTGGGCTTGAACTAGCCTTCCTCAGCGTGATGTTTGTCAGACGCCACACGTTTCTTCATCGGCAGTGCTGTGCTCTGGATAGCTAGTTGTCACTTTCTAAATATGCCATGATAGCTTTTTGACTATTCCATCCAATATGTTGATCAAAGAAGTGGTAAGATTGTTAGGTTTGTAGCCTAGAAAGCAATACTTAGGTCCTGGCTTATGGATAGGGTTTACTAATACATCCCTGAAATCATATGGTAATACTAGATGCATAATAGTAAAAATGAAAATAGTAGTCGAATGCAAGCTTTACCTGCCCCAGGTTCTTGAGATACCTTAAGCGAAGATCGCTGAGTCCCACTGATTACTCTATGTCTAACTTCCTTAGCGATTGGAATGAGGTGTTTTGGTCGATATGGACACAACCCATCTCATTTCTTTGTAGGGTAGCTGGATCCGTTGCTGCGGTGAGTGGCAGCACCTGTGTGAAAATTTTTCTTGATTCTGCTAGATAATATATAGGCAATCTGGTCAAGAACTCTGCTAGAAGTCATACTTCTGAGGTTCATGTGCAAAAATATTTTCTTGGGTCGTACTGATGCGTTTTCAGCTAGATGCATTTTAGACTTCATCTGTGATATACGAATTCCTGCAATACTTTCGATTTTAAGGGAAATGCACTGCTTTCTGGACGGCTTTAAAAGACCCAGGTAGGATATGCATTTCCCAGAACTTCTACCTACCTAGACGTAGTTCACACATCTCACGGTCTATAAGGAAGGTTAAGTTTTTAACCCTTATGAACAGTCCAATAATAATTTATCCACACAAAGTAAGCATTTGCATGATTAACATAGTTATATATGCATTATCATGTCTAACATTAATATACAGGAAATTCAGTTATCCTACTTGATTTGAAATGTGATGCAAATCTTTGGTTTGGAATGAGCAAGGTCTACTCAGCTGTGATCATGCAGTATCATTGATTGTTAGTAGTTGCGGTGTAGAGTCAAGCCACCAGAAAAATTGAACAATAACTTGTCAGCGATCTGAGCAACCAAAATATTTTTTAAATAAAAGAGTAAAAGTTTCATAAAACTTTCTCATCAAGGGAAAAATCACGAATTAATGTGCCACATCACAATTAAACATATGGAATTGATGACTATTTGCCGAATTTCACTAAGGGTTTACAAAGATCATTTTATAGTGCGTAACTGGATGATGCTAAGCAGAAACATACGGTCAACAAACTGTACATCAATTGCTGCTCTAAGAGAAACAAAACGCACACTAAATGCTGTGGTGCTGGATCTCGTATCTAAGAGGTCCGACAAGTACATTGCTACTGATAGGGATGTTGTGTTGGTAGTAATTCTTATCCAGTAGTGATTTGCCTAACAGAATTCGTGATGAAGATTATCTGGCCCTCATCAAGTGTACAAACTACTTCCTGAAAAACGGAGGAGCACAGTTTGTGATACATATGTGGGGTATAGCATGACTGCCTCAGTATCATGATCCAGGGAAAGCTATGAAAGAGAAGGAGGACGTGGGGTTGAGTCACTCTAACGTATTGTTGTTAGAGTTAGCTTCTTTCACATTGGCTTTCGTGTCTAGAATCCAGTCTTTTGATGAGACTAAACTAGTGGTAGTGTCTATACCAACTTTTTATCAATTCGGTTCTGCTCAGGTATTGGACCTGGATACTACAGATGCTGTGAACTTTAAAGCAAAAACAGCGAAGTCAAATATTCCCAAGGGGTGGGAGATAATACTGCAACCCTCTTCGTGAAAAAAACTAGTATCAGGGTTAAAGAACACTGTTGAGTATCATCTGGCACTCGTTTCCTTGGCCTGCCGGACTAATGTCAGCAAAATGAAGGAATCGTGTGAGAGTGCCGTTTTTTTATTATAGCTTGACTCCACACAGCATTTTTGATACAAGTATGGGATCGTCACCATGTGATATCGGAAGCCTAAATTTAGCAGGCCGACCATAGATATCAGGTGTGCATCGGTCGGAGATCGAACCTTGGACAATGTGCATGGTAGGTGAGAGTCCTAACCTCTGTGTCACAGACGCACAGTCGACTTCATAGTAGATTAATGGATCACTGAATTCGCCGACTACGAGGTGT